TAAACTTGGGTCTTCACTGACCAAGTACAACAACTGTGCAGAAAAAGGGAGCAGTGATGGGCACATTAAAGGAACTTTTGGTTTTGGATTAAGAACCTAAGGGAAAAGGACACTACCAACATATTTGGAGGTGCATGTTTTACTTGGGCTTTTATGCTTATAAATCCTGCTTATGGCATTTTCCCAAGTTAATGCCAGGTTACTTTCCCCCTTTTAATAAAAGTTTATTTTCTACACTCAGACTCTATGCTTTTGAGAGGAGAAGTATTACCTCTTAGGGGTGCCCAAGGGGTGACACATAAATGTCCCAGGTTACTGGGTAGGGGTTTGAGCCATTTCTGTGTTGCATTGTTGAAAAGGAACCCCTAGATATTGAACCCACCCTTTGTTGCTGAATGACTCCAATGGGCAGAAGGGTTCTATAAAAGATACCCTTTTTTTTTTGCAGTGTCCAAGATTTCAAATGGAATGAGGCCTAACATGGATAGGATCTGGTACGCAAGTGGGCAACAAAACATTTAACAATAGTCCAGTATCCATTTGACAAATATCTTCCAAACAATCACTTGTTTTCGTCATGCATAGCTGATTCAGTAACTGAAATGCATTTTATTGCCACAAGATGGCTCAGTCTAGCCTCCCATTGAGGTACACAGCATACCTTCCCTGTTTTCATAAATAGCTTGAAACAAAACTGTTTCCAAGTGACTGTTCTGCAGGCTGAATTTGCTTTACAGAGTACACTCACTGTAAGTGAAAACCAGAAAAGGAATGGACCTGGGGACTGATTCTCCATGGCCCTGCACTATAGGCCTGATCCTAAGTCCAGGAGAGCCAAAGACAAAACTCCCATTGACTTTAGGGGGTGAAGAATAGAACTTTGTGGTCCTGCATTCTTTAGCAGCCAAAAATACCACTGACTCCTACAGAATTTTTGAATGTAAAAGGAATGCAGCATCAAGCTCTTGGAGTTTATTGAAAGGCCTCAGCTGATTTCAGTGGACTTTGGATCAGGCCTCTCAAGAATATCTTCCTTACTATTGCTGTTCAAAAACCCTGAGCTAAACTAAACTACTTTGGTATGCTAAAATTTTAAAAAGTGTGGCTTTATAGATGACCTAGACAAAAACTATGTCATATGAGGTCTCTAGGAGGATTAACGGTATGCAAAATACGAGGCTGGAAATGACATCTTTTAAATAAGCACCAGCAAATGTCTCAAGAGGTGGAAACTGTCATGTGTTTTCAAATCATAACCTGATCCTGTGATATTTGCAGAATCATAAGAGGAGCCGCCGGGAACATGACAATTCTTTGGAGGCTAGATTGCTGTAGGACATAGAAAGAAACAATTCAAGGTTGTTGATAGCATTCACAGAGCAGCTGGAGATGGCGAAGCTCCGGTTCTGGGCCTGAAAAACCCAGAACTGACTGGTGAGACTGCTTTGTCATGCAGGTTTGAAGTGATTAGAAGTGGCTGTAGACAGGAGTGACTGGTGAGGAAGCACACGGGGGGAGGGGCCACTGGCAACACAGGTCTTTGGCTTTCATGTGGCACTGCTGCTGGTCTCTGTCACAGCCTTTCTCCTGATTGCCCTGAACAATCAGATGTCCATATTTCTATGGGTGGCTCAGAACTGTGCCTTCACTGCCTCTTCTCTCTTCAGACACAGAAGATTTAGCACCTCCTGCATACTCCTAGCAGGAGTGCATTGCATCATGTTGCTGCCACGGTCAGCTGGGCAGTTGCACACCCTGATGGAGAGCTGCCATGTAAAATCACCAAGCCAGACAAACAGAATTTCAAAAATTTGTGGAGAGGAGCTTCCTGTCCTCTTGGTCCCTGGACAGCACAGTTCACAGTGGTGACCAGAGCAGGCATTGTGGGACAGCTCCTAGAGGTCAGTAACAGTTGATTTAAATAACAAAATGTCTACACTGAAGCTGCATTGGTCTAACTATAAATACCTTGCTGCAGGGGGTAGCAGAGTTAGTCTGTTACAGAAAAACAACAACAAATGGTCTGGTAGCACTTTATAGACTAACAAAACATGTAGATGATATCATGAGCTTTCATAGGCACAGCCCACTTCTTCAGATGACCAGAGTTATGAGTTTGGGATGTGTACACCTATTTATTTTGAACAAGTGCCATTTCGAAACCAAAACCATGGTTTAGACTTGTTTTTTCTGACAACAGAGAGATTTTTGAAGAAGAATACAGGATCTTTTGAAAAATCGCCCTGTTGTCGGAAAAACTGTGTCTAAACTGCGGTTTCAGTTTCGAAATGGCGCTTGTTCAAAACAGCACCAGAACACGAATATGCAAATGAAGCCCCGCTTCATTTGCACTTTCGAAACATCTAATTTACATCCCTTCACCAATAGAGGGGTGTAGTTTAGACACGGCCTAAAGTGTAGACATACTCTTAATGTTAGTGAAAGAAAAGTTACATTATCCAGTCCTAAAACAAAATCCCTGAAACCCTGCCATCCAAGAAACTTTTTTGTATTGATGTCCTATAATATAACAAATCAATACCAGCATGTAATCAGCAACACTGTAAATCACAATTTTATTACATGGTGCCAGAAGAAAATTTAATTTTGACAAAATGGGTAAATGTCATAACCTGAATCCCTGCCTATTTTGAATTCTTGTAATTCTATCTAGTTATTGCACCTTCCAGTCATAGCTATCTACCAGCATTGGGTCCAAAGAACAGGTACTCTCAGAACTCTTAGTTAAACATGGGTCAGAGACATAGCAAATGACTGACCAGGGATGTGAAAAGTGTTGAGAAATTGATACATTGATTCATTCTCTGTTTGCTTTATCAAGTATTTTGTTTATTCTCTTTTTGTCTTGTGTCCCTCCCCAAAACTTCTCACTAAGTTCTACATCAGGAGTTCACATAGAAGGGGTCCTTCAATTCTTTTGTCTAGAGGTGAGGGGCAAATGGGGTAGCATGCAGGGACATCTCCCATGCCTCCCTGATTTGCTACTTGGTTTGTACTGAAGGGCTGCATCTAGATTGGCATGATTTTCCGGAAATGCTTTTAACGGAAAAGTTTTCCGTTAAAAGCATTTTTGGAACAGAGCGTCTAGATTGGCATGGACGCTTTTCCGCAAAAGCACTTTTTTGCGGAAAAGCATCCGTGCCAATCTAGACGCGCTTTTCCGCCAAAAAGCCCCGATCGCCATTTTCACGATAACTGGGAAGGAGGGCTGAGAACCTAGATATGGGGAGGGGGCAGGAGAGGCTCAGAGCTGGGGCTGAGACTGGTGTGTGGTTTGAGTGCTAGTTCCACCTTGTGTCCAGGGACCTTGGCGGTGGGGGTGTCCTGGGAGAACAGGGGTATAGACTGGAGGAGAGGCTGGAGTGGGGTCAGGTATGGCGGGGGAAGTGGGGTCTGGCATGGGAGGGGGAGCAGGGACAGAAGCAGGGACTAGGACTGGTGCTGGGTAGGCCATCATCTCCTAGACAGTGGCACAGATGTTGTGACTCTGCTGCAGCAGCTCGGTCCACATCTGGACCTGTCATTGTGCATCGTCCCAGACCTTCTGGGCCAGCGTCTGCTGCATGTCCGTCCTCAGGACTCAATTAGTTGATAAGGGGGGGCACTCGCTATCCCTGCTGCACCTCTGCCTTTGATATGTAGCGGTCAGCTCTTGCAGAATTTCAAAGGCGGAAGCACAGCGGGCAACCCTGCTTGTGCTTGGCCCCTACTGTGCCTCTGCCTTTTAAATGTACTAAGAACCTGGTGGCTAACAGAGGCAGCAATGTGGGGGATGTGACTAGTCGAGTAGTGATTTGACTACCCGGTAAGCATATGCTTATCGACTACTCGACTAGTCACTTACATCCCTCCTCTATATGCAACAACTGCTGTGTACTGGAGTAGGAGTTATTTCTCCAGCACCAACCACGTGGAAAAGGTGCTCCACCCAGAACAAGTGAGAACTTGGCTTTCGTTTTTCTTAGCTCCTGTCATTCGACATGGCTGAAGGCTGCAAAAGCTTAAACTCCCTTCCCTATAGCAAAATAATTAGTATCTACTGGCTGTCCTAGCACGAACTGAAGGAAGGAGGAATGTTTCTGTTGCAGAACAGCACTATAGAACTCCGCAGAAGAAGCGGCAGCATTACCTAACCCAGAAGACTATAAATCCCAGTATGCAACACGACACATGGGGCCACCTGACCTATCATGCAACGCTGTAAAGCCCTGGGGGACCCAGCATGCGCCGTAGTATTTTGCCGAAGCGTCTGCCGGGAACAGCCAGCTCTTTTTGGCCCCGGTGGCTGCTGGGACTTGTAGTCTTAACGCGTCTCAAGTTCGAGGCCAATAGTCAGCAGGGAGGCTGCCTTGGTACCGCCCAACGGTGCAGGGGGGCCACCTGACCTATCATGCAACGCTGTAAAGCCCTGGGGGACCCAGCATGCGCCGTAGTATTTTGCCGAAGCGTCTGCCGGGAACAGCCAGCTCTTTTTGGCCCCGGTGGCTGCTGGGACTTGTAGTCTTAACGCGTCTCAAGTTCGAGGCCAATAGTCAGCAGGGAGGCTGCCTTGGTACCGCCCAACGGTGCAGGGGGTGGGCCGTTGGCGCGTGCCCGTCTGCCCAGTCCGCGCTGTGGTGCCGAACCCCATTACCCC